AGTCCTTCTCTGCAGGGCTGCTCTGAATCTCTTCTCTGCCCAACCTGTAGCTGTGCCTGGGATTGCTCCGACCCAGGTGTAGGACCTTGCACTTGGCATGGTTAAACTTCATGAGGTTGGCATCAGCCCACCTCACAAGTGTGTCGAGGTCCCTCTGGATGGCATTCCTTCCCTCCAGCGTATCAACCGAACCACACAGCTTGGTGTCATTGGCAAACTTGCTGAGGGCGCACTCAATCCCACTGTCCATGTCACCGACAAAGATGTTGAACAAGACCGGTCCCAACACCGATCCCTGAGGGACACCACTCATTACTGGTCTCCAGCTGGACATTGAGCCACTGACCACAACTCTTTGCATGCGGCCATCCAGCCAGTTCTTTATCCACTGAGTGGTCCACCTATCAAATTGATGTCTCTCCAATTTAGAGACAAGGATCTATCATACATTGAATCTATCACATATTGAATCTATCATACGCTATTGGCATTGTGCTTTACTAACAAAATATACACATGGACAATATGAAAGGAACATTCTGGGGACATTTTTTTGTATAGCTGAAAAAAGTAATTAGCTTCTAATCATGCTATCAGGGAAAAAAAATAGTGTAATTGCTATTATAGGGGAAAAATACAGAGAAATTAAATGGAGATAATGGAAAACTCAGTGAAAGACATGGATTCTTCCGATACTCAGCAGTTTTATGTGAAAGAAACAAGTTATTACACTGTAGTATACAAGATGGAAGTACAGATATTGCCAAGTTGCTTTCTAATTCTGAAGTCATCTTCAGGTAAAAGGTCCAACCAAAACAACAAGACTAAACACTAAAAGAGACTTCTTAGTTTCTTCAGTTTTAGATGTGCCATAACTTGACCCCAGAATCTTTACACAGACTATCTGTTAAAGAGTATATAGATAACCAATGCTTCATCAGTCAAGTGTATTTTCTTTCCTAATTTCTTCCTAGCCTGTAACATACTTACTTTTTTTTACTCTGAAATGAAATTATTTTTTTATTACAAATGAATTGGACAAGGGTTTTTGAATAGAATAGATATTAGGCTTAAAAAGAGGAAGAGAAAACTGAAGGAAGGCTGTAAAGGGAAGCTTTCCAGAGATATTCATGATGTCTGGCTTTGGCAAAAGGATGCTCAAACCTCCTGTCAGAAGGTGCTTCTATGGTATGAGGCTTTTTCCACCCAAGTGGAAAGTTGTTATTTATGTAAGTTAAGAAATCTTAAGAACTTTTAAGAACTGAATAGTCATCTGAATGAAAGGTAATCTTAGATCAGATACTGACGTCAAAACAAACAGAAAAGAACATTTTGCGTGTGAGTTGGAGAGAGGTTTTACTGATGATCTTTTCAATTCTTTAGCATACCTAAGAAACCTGCTGACTTTTTTAACCTGGAACGAGTGTGAATTTTCTGGGGAATGCTTCATTCAAGGTCCCACCAATCTGTTGTTAGGTGTTTCTGGAATATTTCATAGATACGGAGATTAATTCTTGCATTTCTTGAATGCAAAGCATTTCCTTTCCTGCTGCTTATTCCCACTGTGAGAAACTTCACAGCTGTGATGATCTAGGATATAAACAATTGCTTTGCTTTACCAGTTATATTTGGTTCTTCGGGTATTACACCTTCTCCTTGAGGCCTTAATCTTTGTGGTGGTCCAATCAACAGAAGGCATTGTTTTTTTATTCCAAATAGTTATCTATAGGGTACTGATACTCAGTATATTTTATGCTCATATTCACTGAGGCAAGCACAAGAGAAAAGTTTCAGGAATAGTTGTGGTTGTCTATACCAGTAAGGCCACATAGCTGGAAGTGAAATGAGAGATTGTCTCTTATGAGTCAAGCATGGAAAGAATTTCTATTCTTTATTTCAACAGCTGTTAGAACTGAAGATAATCTCCATCATTACCCTTTGGATTCTCTAATATTACAGGAATAAAAACCTAATTAAAATGGTTCTTGTGCTTTTGAGAGTCTTTGTACTCAGAGCATGGCTATGTAGTAGAACTAAAGCACCATAATAAACCACAAATATTGTTCAGCCAAATATTTATTAGAGGAATCTAGAAAGTAAAATAAAGTTGAGGTGGATTAATGTTCTAGGGCATGTTCTAGGATACAGTATCTGTAGCAGATTATGTACAAGGATGATGTGACTGTCACCTAAATTAAATGCATCTTCTTCAGTCTTCAGTGTGGGAGTGACAGAATAATGAAATTTAAATACAAATAATGACTACATTTATCTTAATTTAGAGGCTGGTCACCCTAAATCAGGTGCAGATATGAGATAAAATAGTATGAAAACTGACACTTAGTTTGTAAAAATGGTTATTCTGTAAACTCTGGAAAGGTTTGTGGTTGTCTGAAGTGGTACTTATTTAAATACCAGTTTTATATTTGATCAGAACAGAAGCTAAACATTTCTACTAAACCTAGAGGTGAATAAATACAAATTGTTTTGGTTTGTTTGGGTTTTGTTTTAAGGAAGCTTGATATCAAGTCTATTAAACTATTAAAACTATAAACTATTTAAAAATCTGTCATTTACAATATTATGGAATAAACATGAAGAAATTTTTAGCATGGAAACATTTTAGTAAAAAATGAAAGGATTACAGAATTAAATATTACATCCATTCCTTAAAAACTCTAAAATTACAAGATATCATCACATCTTATAAAATTAGTTAAAAATTTGACTGGTATCACGAGCACAAAAAGGAGTTCAGCTCTTTTCAGGACTTCTCCCTTTGAAGAATGTTTTGAATCTTATAACATCTGGCCTGGACATCAATGGTAGCAATAAAATCTTCAAAAAACATGGCTCCTTTGGGCTGCTTTGCAATGTTCCTGTCATCAGAGTCAAGTATTTGCAAAGACAGATAGGGCAAAACCCTTTCAAAACTGATTCAGAGCTAAGTTCCTAAAAGTGTAATAAGCATTTCTGGGTTTAAAATCTGAGCTAAGAACCTGGGTGGGAATATGACAGTTCTTAATAGTTGTTTATGGATGCTTTTATAATTGCAGTCCTGCTGCTTAAATTAACTGCAGGAAATCCAGTTAACAAGGTAAATTGGACAAGTGCGTTATACAGAGCCACCTTCTTGATTTTTCTCCCTCTCATTCTTTCATAAATAAATGCAGAAAATTTCAAGCTGTTTGTGTTCAGATCTTAAGATCATTGACAATACAAGCAATTGCGTTTCAAATAGGATTGCGGCCATTTTTTGCCCTGGGTTTTGAGGCCAGTATTAACATTTCATAGTTCCCTTAATAATGAAAGGCATAACAGGGAAAACTAGTATCTATCTAATGAAAAAGAATATCTAGTGATTGCTGTGAATAAACCAACAGATCTTCTAAAGTGTGTAATAACAAGCTGTAGAGTTAAATGAAAGTGAGTGATGCTCATTAGAGCCTGCTCTGACACCTAGTTAGATTCATTAGTGCACAAACAAAGGTTTAAACTATAGAAGACAGAGTTGTATCTGAACAAAAGGAGAAGGGAACAGTTATGAAAGAAAGCCATATTGTAAAAGTGCTGTATAGGAAACTAACTCATGTTACTGGTTGCTTATCCTTAAAAAAATAAATCTCTTTGGTCTCCTTATGTTACAAATAAGCATCTAAAAATCACAAAATTCAAAATGAAATAATGAAAGTCTCTGAATTGTCCTTCTGATCCCTAACAATTTTTCTGCTTCCAGATTGCCTGTCTCAAATCCATAAACCAACTCTCCAGTAAGGGATGTTCCTGTTGCTTACTTGATAGCAGGAGAGCCCGCTGCGGGCCTGGGTGATGACACCCCAATTTAAAGGATGCTGCCAAATTTCCTTTTTCTTTTTCTTAGTATTCCTTATAGCTACATTTATGAATAAGCTAAAGTGTTATCATTAAAAATAACATTAACATGCTAATTTCTTGGCACTACTCATGCCACTCCTTTCCTTTTTCACTGGCCTCAGACAAATACAATGGCCTAGATGATTTCATTACATTTTTAAGCTGCTAGCGTAATGGCATTGAATTTAATAATGTAGCTATGATCCCAGCTCCTTACAACAGGAAGGGAGTTCCTGGGAACTCCTTTCAAAGGGACTTCCTACATTCGCACCCCCAGCAGGCATGCAAAAGGAAGTCAGGAGGGAGTCAGCTGCTGCAGGACTTCCAGCCTCAGCTGTAAGGAGGTAGGAAGCCAGGAACACAGGAGATGAGCACTAGAGGTGCTCTTCTGGCTTATGTTTTTTGGTCCACCCCCCATAGAGAAGTGGTAAGGGTAGAGGCAGAAGCAGCTGAGCACTCCGAGTTCCCTTCCTCAATGCTGTGGCTGTTGTGTCCCTCAGCTTCTCCAGAGGTAACCCGCTACCATAGGGAACATGAATTTGAGAGGATCATCTTCACCGTATGGGCTGCCATATGACCACTGCCAAGCCAACAGCAGTCTCTAGGCAGAGAAACATGAATTCAGTCTCAAAAAAAATACATACAGGTTAGTAAAAAGGTTAAACTGACCCCAATGATTAACATATTAACAATACAATTATTCTTTTGTGGGGAACTTTGGCCTGCTTTCTTTATGAGGATGTTCTGCCTAATCTATAATTTGTAAAAGAGAATTGTCACAGAGGCTGCAAGAGCTGCTTAGAGCCAAGCTCTGCTATTTCCAGGAGCAGTCTCTGATGGTTTTGAACCTGGGGAGGAGCGGCAGGGAGCATAAAACATCCAGATAATCTGCTCAGAGTCGGAAACAAGAGCAAGAGATTCAGATTAGACCTTAGGAAGAAGCATTTTTACTGTGAGGGTTAGGAGGCCCTGGCACAGGTTGCCCAGAGAAGCTGTGGCTGCCCCATCCCTGGCAGTGTTCAAGGCCAGGCTGGGTGGGGCTTTCAGCACCCTGGTCTAGTGGAAGGTGTCCCTGCCTGTGGCAAAAGGTTGGAACTAAATGATCCTCAAGGTCTCTTTCAACCTACATCATTCTATGAGTCTGTGATTTCTTGGCTTTTTTCCTGTGTACAATAGGATACTGGAATTAAAATCAGCATTTCTAGATTTAGCTAAAGGCAACTTGGTGAATGAGCTGCTCCTGCAGACAAGCGTGTAGAGTTTATACCACTCCTGTACTTATGCAGGACACTTGTGCAGGTTTTATCAAGTGGGAGGAGGCTGGTGTTTGGATCTAGCTGCTAAGTAAGAACCTGTTTTTCAGGAGAACGATTTGGAAAGGGTAATTATGTAGGAACAGTCATTTTAGTGCATTACTTCATCATAATAATACCCGAATTAATGAGTCTAATGAGATTGAATTACTGAGTTCAGTGTGCAGCAAATTGTATGGCTTTCCCCTACAAAATTTAAGGTTTTTCTTAATATTGTAAGTCAGCAGCACTGCCAAGGTTAAAAGTGCAGTTTCTATCACAATAAAAGTTCGAATGCTTTCAGTCATTGCTGTGTGTCTTAACAATTCCAACTCATCAGTCGTATCCGTTTCAAAACTGTTAGGCTAGTTTTGAGGCATCGGGTTTGAAGCCAGGCAAATAATGGGCTTATACTCACAGGTGGTGTGTTTTATGCCAGCCTGTAGAACAGCAAAGGTCACCAACTGCCCTGAAACAAAAAAGGAATTTTGGTTATTGGTCTTGGCAAACTAATTCAAGTGATGCAAATTATCTGAGTAATGTCAGGTTACTTTCTGACACCATAAATCAAAACTATGATTTTAGGCTGAGAAAGTTGGGGCTGTTCAGCCTGGAGAAGAGAAGGTTGCGTGGAGACCTCATAGCAGCCTTCCAGTATCTGAAGGGGGGCTATAAGGATGCTGGGAAGGGACTCTTCATTAGGGACTGTAGTGATAGGACAAGGGGTAATGGGTTCAAACTTAAACAGGGGAAGTTTAGATTGGATACAGGGAAGAAGTTCTTTACTGTTAGGTGGTGAGGCACGGGAATGGATTGCCCAGGGAAGCTGTGAATGCTCCATCCCTGGCAGTGTTCAAGGCCAGGTTGGACAGAGCCTTGGGTGAGATGGTTTAGTGTGAGGTGTCCCTGCCCATGGCAGGGGGGTTGGAACTAGATGATCTTAAGGTCCTTTTCAACCCTAACTATTCTATGATTCTATGGGTGAGCAGTGTAACCTTGCTAACTAAGACCTTCATTGAGCTTAATGGGATATCCTCCATCTTGTAGATTGTTAAGAATAAGGCAATTTGGGCTTTTTTGCCTCTCCAGATGCCTTTTGTTCAAGAGAAATCCTATGTTACAAGAGCTGGACAGTAGATATTTTCTGGGCTTCAAGCTTCTTTGTTCAATGAATTGTTTGCATAGTCCTGGAAGGCGGTCATTCCTGTTCTGATCAACCTAGTGCTTCTTTGGGAGCAGGCCCTTGTCTCTCTGCTGGTACATTTTTCTAGAGTCACAATTGTCACAAAGGAGCTACAGGGTCTGACTAGGCCTGCTAGAATCCAAATGACCAGATTAAGAGAAGAAATTGAAAAATAATGCTGGTTTAACTCAATGCAGCATGATGATACTTTAACAAGCATGAAAAAAGTGTCTCGAAAGTGGTTTTAGTGCAATTTGAATGTGAATATATTGGAAGCAATGCTGTACTTCCCAATGGCAGTGAGAAGCTGTACCGCGCAAGGCTAAAATGGATGAATTAGAAAGTACCATGTTATTGTGGTCAGGAGTGTTATGAAAGTGGTCACAAGGTTACATGACTGTGGAATGTCCACAATTCAGAAAGCATTAGGGTTGGAGTTATTCTTTCCAACCACCTGCTCACTAAATCCTTCTGAGGCAGGGATTTTTGGAGCAAACCATGTGCCGTTTTCTCCTTCCTTTTCCCTTTTTTCTTTTCTTTATTCTTTTTTATCTTTTTTTTCTTTCCTTTCCCCCTCTCTGTCTCTCTCTTTCTGCCAGCCCTCAGTTTCCAGGTGTCATCCCAAAAGTATGTCCTAATGTGACATTATGCTGCATCTCGAGTGCTTAAATGCCTAGTAAATGATGTATCTTGCCACCTGCTGTGGCTTATGGCAGATGGTGCAGAAACAGAAGGATGCACCTACCTCACTGTGTGATACTGACTGAAGCAGTGGGAGGGAATCCCCATGGCCATTCCTTTACAGCCTGCAGCATGAGGTTTGATTATCCCATCTCTTAAAAGATACAAATGTTACAACCGTAAAATTATCCAGCTTAATATGAATATGGAGATAACTTAAGGTGATGCTATAGCAGAATAGGTATTGTGAATGAATATATAATTTAATATAGGTAAGTGCAGGAATGAGTTGTTGATTTAATGAGATGTCATTACTTCTTGTTCCAGGAGACTCGAAAAGATTGAAGTTTATTTCTGTGTGACTCAATTATCTTTTTTTCCTTGCCTGCACAGTAAACAGCAGTCTAACTAATGACCCTGACTCATTAGAGGATAAACAAGTGCTACCTTCTTGTCTAGTCATGTATGGTATGTAATGACCTACCTTCCAATTAAATTCCTTTAAAAGCTGTAGTTGAAATCCAGTCTTCAGTTTACAAAGGTCATTCAAGAAAACTAAAACTAGTCTTGGACAGACAATGAACATCTGAGCAAAAAGGAAAAACAAGAAGAAAAAATAGTTGTTGAAAATCTGGACAAATTAAATTATGTATCTTTTACAGATATTAAAGACATGTGGTAACTAGGAGGAAACTTTCTGTCTTGAGGATTTAAAAAAAGGCTATTAGGAATAAATCAAAGGGACTTTTAATATTTTGCAAAATAGTATGCAGACTGACCTCAGATCACAATACTGCAAATGATTCTAAACATACTCTATAGATTTGAATAGCATCGTTGTAGTCAATCACCCTTGAGAAACCACCCCATTGGTAAGCACAACTGTTAGTATGATTTGACCTATTTTTATCTTGACCACAGTTCTTTGTACTGTAACTTATTGTATTCATCAGCAGCCCATCTTTCAGAACATCGGCAGAAAGTTCAGAGGTTTGGAGATGCAGTTAGGTTCAATAGCCCACAGATGGAGATGGTGCTTTCTTTTGATATTATTAGGTCATTATGCATACATTTATAGCTGGAGATTTAAATGAGGAGAGGGTCTTGAAAGTTATCAGTAGATGAGTTTCTTTAAAGAAATGCAAAATAAAATCTTTTGTAATGTGTTTTCTTTGGAGCTTTATTAAAAACACTAATATGTTCTGAAAAGATGAATTGAAAGATGAAGTAGATTGTGCCGATAGTATTTTCATCTTTGGATACAGGAAATGATATTTAATTTTAATATCAGGCTGTTTCATTTTTTCATCATCACAGAGGTTTAAAATTTGAAGATAAAATCCTTTACTTTTGAAAGAACAAAGAATAGGTGTGTCAGTTATTTGTAGATTAATATTTGTATATTTCTTCTTTTATCAGCCCTGCTGAGTTTATCCTTTTTTTATTGCACTTTATATCTTTCATGCCTTGTAGCTCTGTCTCATAAAGTTCTCTGTCATCTGTTCCCAAATAAATATTACCTTGTGTACCCTTACACACTTTTATGATTTTTCTGCGTGAAATAGTAATTTTTGATGTATTTCTACTTTCATTTCATGGTATCTGAGCCTCTGTAATGCAATTAAATCCTTTAGTCACAGTGTTACCATGGTTTATTTAAATTATATTTTAATTTTCCTGTTCTATTACTCTTGGAGGTCTAGAAGTCCACAGCTGATAGTGGAAGGAAAGGTGACCTAGCATAGGCAAAGTTTTACAGGAATCAAAAGGACAGAACCATAGATTTTTTTTTTTTCAGTTTGCCAATACTCTCTCAAGAGAACATGCACTAGCCATTGTGGGGATCCCAGTGGAGGGAGCACATACCTACAAATCTTCTCAACACAAACTTAACTTGAAAAGGAGGAGTCTGAGGGTAGAGGGACTGAGGAGGGCATAATCATAAATTATTTTATGTTGCTTCACAGCAGGGTCAGGATTCCAAGAACACCATAAAATCCTGGCTTTTCTTGACTTCCAGGTATTAAAGTTTCTAAATAGTCTGTCTTCTGTGTAATACATTGCATGATGTAACACCTGTAAGAGTGCAGATTAGGGCACATTCTCCCTATGTCGTGGGAAACAGGAAAGGAGCAGACAGAAAACAGCTATTTTCCTGCAGAAAAAGTAAATATGAATACTTTCCTGTAGTGCATATGAACACTTCAAAACATAACTTTAGCCATGTATTAGCCGTCTCCCAGCAATGTCACACCTTGAGTCAGGCACCATCCTTTGGGGCATAACTGAAGCATAGCTTTCAGTGTTTCAGTACGGGAGTTTTGGACTGGTTTTTGAAAAGAGGCTTTCAATGGCATTTCTTCGGGATCTTTTCCCCTTTTTTAACAAGGTAATCTGTATAGAAATTCATTCATGTATCCACAGAGAGTCTTCTCTCTAGTTAAAGCATGGCATGAAATGGCCAGAATTACAACATGGAAATGACAGCTATGGGCAGTCAGAGGAAATGACTGAAAACTTCAGGGGCACTCAGCTACATTCTCAAGCCTGGTGAATTACCTTATTTTCCTGTTTAGTAGTCTGATCATTGAAATGTTATATCAAAAAAAACTGCTTGGGGCTTTTTTCTTGTTAAAGTTTTGCACCCACAACAATTTTCTACTCGCTCTTTGCCAAGTAAACTATGGCCCTATGTAGCTGTAAAATGGTTGAGCTGGGTATCAGCTGGAGGCAAAGTGTAGAAAGCCACATGAATGTTAGCAGTGCTCTGGCACACTGCCAATAACGTGGTGACCATTTTGCTCCCAGGACTTAAAATCACGCTGCTAAAATTCTTTGCAAAAATTAAGTGATCAAGACTGACAATGAAAACAGATGATAAATGACTGATAAAATGACTGAAACTGTTTGCTAAGCTATGAAAAGGTTTTTGCTAACAGGTGTATGTACGTGGATTGCATAAATAGCAACATCTTTGATATACTAAAGCTAGCAATTGCGTTATTGGTTCTTAGCAGATGCAGGGCAGGCTGTCTTTATAAAGAATACATTTGCTTGTGGTTAAAGGGTGACTTTCTAGTGAAAATAACTGACTTGCAGCTCTTTAGATCCACTAAAGGCTGTTTATCAAGTGTAGTACAATCCTGTTTCTTAAGAGACAAAACAGCCTTTTATGCTTGGAAGCTAATTTAAACTGAAGGTTAATGTCTACGGTTTTCAAGATTTTTGTGACAGTTTTGTGTTTTAAGAAAGAGTATTGTTTCCGAAATACAAACTGTCATTAAGGTCAAAACTTCAGATTATAATGAACACCCTAAAATCTGAGTAATGAATTACAGTAAATTAATGCTATCACCAATAAATTGTCTAGATTAGCTAAAAGTGGAAAAAGGCCATTTCAGACCACATCTGTCCTTATGAATTGCTTCTAATGCAGGCTACCTGCTTGGTCCATAGGGAGGGAAGGGTCTCGCTGTGCCTGAGCACAAAACAGGTATGTCACTGCTCCACACCGGGAGGGCAGTTGACTTGATAACATTAGAAGACCCCCATTTGATCCCTCCTGAGATAGCAGCTCCATTTGCTGACTAATTTACAGGTTTTCTTCAGTGTCCTACTGGCTGCTGACAGTACTTTTTGAGAGCTCTTGCTAACTGGTGGGTAAAGTGCTCTTCTTCTCCCCTAACTGGCTGAACAGTCTGATGGCTTTCTCCAGTTGCAAGCAGCTGTGTTGCTGCTTTACCCCGTTCTGAGAGGCTAATATTCACCAAGTCACTCTGTTACTGCAAGGCACCATCTCTGCCTGTGTTCTTTACCTGTTTTTGTTTTAAGTAAGTGTGAACTGGAACATGTTATCATGTTCTGTGTCTCCAGCTCTTCTTTTCCCTCCTTTTTTTTATTATTGCAACACAGTGCTTTGTTTGTAGATGTCGTCTTTTTTTTTTTTTCTTTTAAGCAAGCATATCACATAGAACTAAATCAAAATATGTCTTCAAATATCTCTATTTTACAAGTTGGGCTATTGAGCGGCATTGTAGAAGGATAGCTATTTGGGAAACTGCTTTGAGTAACTTTTAGTTCAGTAAATCGGAAAGCAAAGGTAGAATTAAGCTTTGCAAAAAAAAGAGATTAATTTTAGAAACTCAAAAGGTTCCTCGATGTAATGTTATAAACTGACTTATTGTTCTTAGTTGTCTTCAAGCGAGTCAAATGTAATCAGCAAATTCATCTCTGTAGAAAACAGCATTAGAATTGATCAGGCTTGTATTAGTAAAATGAGTGAGTCAGTACTGCCTAAAGTTATGGGAAGCTCTACTTCTGTTTCATACTAATTAACAGAGCATCTGCCCCCTTACCTCTCTTCACAAACAAAATCTACTTTAAACAACAACAAATTGTTCCAAAGATGTGCATATTGTGTTTATTATATTTTTGAAATTACAAAATACAGCAGATGTTTCCCACTTCTGGCAGGGGTAAGTAATAAATCCATTGCAATGAGGTAAGGAAGCCAGTTGTTGCAAAGGCTTAAGATGAGCTGAACTGGGAAGATTTTTTGAAAGCTCTGTCATCTCACAGAAGTTCTTCAAGGATTAGGATGTTCTCTAATTACAGTTCCACCTCACTGTTACAAAGGTAAACCACCAGTTTGTATGTTTCCCTTTTCTAAAGAGTAAGATTTTGCTGATGCCTACATCAGTGGTTGCCTCACAGCAGTGACCCTGCTGGGTAAGTCTTTCTGTGCAGCATTTCTTCTGGTGACCTGAACTGGCACCTTTCTCTGTGTTTCAGTAAAGTGTTAGTCTGATTGCAATGTAAAGAGCACTAGAAAGCTATAGGACCAGGCTCTTGTGTTTGAAGTGCCAGAATTATGCATTGCCAGATCCTTGTCTATGAGATAGATAACACTTCCCAGACAGATGGCTTAGCTTTCACATTTTGGAGAACTTCCATTCTTTGCCTTAGCTTTCTATCTGTTATGTAAAGATACTCTAATACCTGAGTAAGGAGAGGGATCTCCTTCTGTGAAATAACCAAGATAACTCTTTTGAAGGCAAATAATGAGATTGATCAAATTAAGCTGTGGAAGCATAGTCAGCAAACTTCCTTGGTAAAACATGAACTGGTTGAAACAAAGCAAATTAAGACCACTTCCAGAGGAAGAAACACTTAAATTATACCTATGGTAACAGGGTGACCTATTGGGTTAAATGAGCAGCCATAAAATACTGTAGGATTTACTGAAATAGTATGATAGAACCTGGAATTAGTTTGAGTAGATCTTGGCACTTAGTAGCTAAATCAACTGCCCTTCCATTTAACTAAGAATGATACGGAGGAGAAAAAGTGAGCAAAGTGAGCAACCGCACTTGGTCCAGTCACACTGTGACCATAATGGAGACAGGGTTTGCATCTAATCTAAGGGTAAGGGAATTTCTGGAGATTTTTTTTAAGACCCCTTACTCTATTTCTATATCTTCAAGTATAAAATCCTAAAGGGATACTTGACATACTGTCATTCCTTTCCCTCCCCACCTCTTCTCTGGAAAAGGACAGTAACTTGAAACTTAAGAGGTCAAAGGGAGTCACCTATGAAAGGAACTTGCATGCCACTACAAATAGCTTCACCATATTCACAAGCCAGCATCTGTTCCAGCAAATTGGCTAATTGTGTGTGCTAGCAGATATTCACCAATTAGGTAATCAGTTATCCATTTTGTGCAAACAATGAACATTTGCATGTATCAAATCAAAGGTTTTATGGACAGCTAACTCTTCCCCTAGTAATGAACATTAAGCAGGGACCATCTTAGAAACATTCATCAACATTTCAAAGCTTCAGGGAAGTTGAATGGGGCTGAAATTCTCTCATGAATAAGCACTGCATAGTGTTGCCTAACAAAGTATATATGTGGCAATATTAATATTAGAAGGTAGCAGAACGTAATATAAATGATAATTAGGAGAAATGACAGCTCAGCATAAAGGAGCGATAGCATCATTAGTGCCACTAAGGGCTTTGTGAAGCATACTCTTCACTGTACCGCTATAGAAAGGGAAGGGCATAGGAACAACAGTTTCTGATTAGGTCCAATAGTTCTGTGGAAACTCAAACCATTGCCTAGACAGAACGCAAAAATTTTCTGATTTTCAGAAGGGTCTAAGTATGGTTTTTCAAAGGGTTTTCAGGTAGCCATTACAGGTGGTTTTTGAAAGTAGGACTTAAGCTTGATTCTATAACCTTTCTTTTACCTTTTCTCCATATTGTGCTGGAACAATAACTCTAGAGTGACAAGCTGCTAGCCCTGAAGGCTTCTTACAATAAATTCAAACCTAAAATATAATGAATTGTACTTTGTGGAATAGATGATAGGATTCCAGATATCTTTCATTTAACATTTCTTTCTGCCTCTTGCATGAGGATTTTGTCTGCTTTGTAGGGATGATGTCAGTTTTGTCCATGCTCATAAAACAGCTTTCTATGCTCTGAGGCAATTATAAGAGAGGAACAATAATAAAAAGCAACATATGAAGTTGAAAGTTGTTACTTTCTAGCCAATAGCATGTTGGTAACTTTTAAGCCGTAACTCTAGTACCTTTATTCACCACATCAAAGTTGAATAAAAGTTTTAATGTATTTTATTTGGGATATAGAACTTCCAATATTGCCTTCACTTTATAGTACAAAATCGTTGCATAATTCTCTGCGTACCTCAGAGTAGACAGTGCAAGTCAGTCATGGTAGTCAATCTTGTCAGCAGGTACTCTGTGTCCAGT